CTTTATAATTTTTTATCTAAATTAATTAAAAATTACAATTAATACATTTTTAATTTATGTATAAAAAAACTATTAATATATTATAAGTTGTAAACTAGAAACATAATAATCAAATTTTGACATCCATAACACTCGAACTTGTTACCTTCCTTATACTTAGACAAGGCAACATGCCATTACAATCACTATTTTATATTGCATAATATTATATTCATTCATATTTAATTGAATCGATAGTTTGAATGATTTAATTGATTAAACCGATCAAATCAAAAACCAAAGGTCAAAACGGTTTAACCTCTAGGTTGGTTTTCAAAACACCAGTCCCTACTCCTAAAAAAATTGAAGTTTTAATTTTAAATTATAATGTTTTAGTTAATTAAAGTTTAATTTAAAATTAAAAATTTATTTTGTTAGATATTAACATTTAGATTTAAAAACCGATTGAATTTTTAAATTTTGAATTAAGATTTTCATTTCTAAATATAGATTATAACCCTAATATTTTTTTTAGAATCAAAATTGATATGTATTAACTTTTTATAATAAATTATTTTTATATATTAATTTATTAAAAATATTTTACTTTACTATTATTATTTTTTTCATTTTAATTGTTAAGATTTTCTTTGATACCACGCAAGATTGCTACGAACACCACACGCAAGATAACCCTTACGGATAACCTTCAAAATTGGCAGCAAAAATAGACGAAGAGAGACACTGTGAAAAAGCGCAGTCAAGATCATGGAGATTGCGAGAGATTAATAGCCAAGCAAAACCATACACTACACATTTCCACGCTTAATTATTAATTAATTTTAAATCATATGTAAATTTATTTTAAAATTTATATATTTAATTTTTTTTAAATATATTATAATTATTTACGAGTTAATTAAGGGATAAAAAAAAAGTTTTTGTAAAATTCGAACATGTAATCCACTGAAAGTAAATAGTCTTAACTTAATGTCCAATGCCATAAGGCAAGAGCAGGCTCCTGTTCATATATTTAGGTTTTACATATATATTAGAGTTTGGACTTCAATTTTAAGAAGTCCAAGATCTTATGACAATTTGAGTCTACATGAAGCGAAGGTATATCAAGCCTGTTTGTTAGCTTGAGATCTGTATGGCAAACCAAACTTGCACGAGCAGGACCTTTTAAGTTCGTAACCTGAGATCCAAGTAATAAAACTTGAATTTAATACTGAAATTGCATATAAAGAAGGGCGTGTCAGTTAAGTGAAAAAAATTTTACTTTAAAAAAGTAACAAAGAATGTTGCTATTTCACCTATATTATCAATTTATTTTAGATTAAATATAAGTGTTGTATTAAAACTCATGTCTCTAATTTTTAATTTTTCACAAGCACAAGACTAGCTTGTTCGCTTCCACTATATGGTAATTAAACACTCCCTTCATATCAAAATAATAAATGTTTTTTAATTTATAATTTGTCGTATTATAATAATTTTTTTTAAGAAAGTGTAATATTTTTTTATTTTAACTTTATAATTATCTCTTAACATTAATTATCTATCATTTGATAAAAATAATTATTTTTTAAAGATAAAATAGATAAAAATAAAAATTATTCCTAAATCTTTAATTTAGAGATAAAATTAAAAAAAAATTATTATTCAAAAACAAAGGAAGTAGTTCTTATAATCGCTTTAATAAAAAAAGGGGAAATCATACGGTAGACCATCAGCTATTGGGTAAACTTTCGAGCAGAAACTACAAGCCCCTCTTTGTCCGGCTTTGTTTGGTTATTAGAGGAACATATGATATATGTGTTTATTCTAATTTAATGAATAAGAGAATATTTGTGTTAAAGGGAAAAAAATAAATGGAATTGAGAATTTTATTGGTGAATGAAAGAGAGCTACAATGGTAATTAAGCAAGAAAAAGATCCCTTTCTAAATCTAGGTTGAGGATATTTATAGTATGAACATATAATATTTCCAAGGCTATAACTTAAACTAAAAAAATTTAATAAGTAGGAATTCACTTCTATATAATTCTTACAAACTATATTTATATAGAATCTTAATTATTCAACTTTTTACTTTTAGTAATTGAGATTTATTCACTAACGACCTAAATAGGTTAATAGTAATCTTCTTCTGTTGAAAGTAAAAAGTTTTAAATTCAAGTTACATGCCATGCGGGTGAGATATAATAAGAGATGGATGATGGTTATTTTTTATTATGCAATCAATTTATTCATTTATTATCTTATTTATTAAAGATAATTATTTTTTTATTTAAAAAGTTATGATAAATTTTAATCATTGAAAATAAAAAGATAAATAATCAAAATTTTATATAAATATAATATGTGAAACACATATGTAAATGAATTCTTATTGGAATTTCATATTTTATTTCTAATAGAACTTATAGTCTTGTAGAATTGTTCTTGTTCAAGAAAAGATGTGCCCAACAGAGGTTTCATGGTCGGTCTAGGATTCCTTTGTCTTCCTTGTCTTGATGAGCAGTCCCCCAAGTCTTGTTACTTTTACTAGTCATTTTTTTACACTATAAAAATTTGAATTATAGAAAAAAAAAAAAAAAAAAAACTATTAACGATCGATTGGGTATCGACCATTAGCTAAATACTTAAATCAAACAGAAGCTAAACCCTCAATAGGTGCTTTTCCTCACTACTCTAAAATGCTTTAAGTAGTTTTGTGTTTGAGAGTTTTTTGGTTATTGCTTTGTAGGAAATCGTAAATAGTCAGAATAGATTTCGAAATTAGAAATTTCAAAAAAAATATGTATTATGAAAATGTTAAGAGAAAATAACTTATTTTTATATCAAGAATAAGATTGTTATAATTCTTCCTATCATACAATGTTTTAGGTGTTTTTCATTCCTAAATTTTTAAAAGATTAAACTGATAAATATTAATTTCAAAAATTAATGCAATTTTCAAAAATATTTCTTAATAATTTCATTATAGTTACTAAACAAAATGAAATTGATCACAACACATTCATTGTATTTTAATAGTAATAAAATTAGAATTCAAATATTAAAGTAGTTTCTAACAAGAGTACCATAGCTTAGATACGCTACAGGTGAAACCACCCTCCCGAGTCCCGACTAACATTTTAAGACAAAATCTAACCTTCGAATTCAACAAAGACACTCCCCTCCCCTCTTTTTATAATTTTAATCATCTAATTAATGGTAATTTTTTCTTATTCCTTAATGTTTTCCACCTACACGCATGTAACGAACCCAACGCTTATATTTTTCTGTGGAAGTTATTACCACTTTCTAGCTTAGGTTGTTGGCCAACAAAAATCTATTTAGTTAATTATGTGATCAATAAAGGCTTCCAATTCCATCCGTGAAACGCCACCTTCCGCTGTAGCTCGACGCAGAGCTCCTCCCAATTCCTCTGCCCTTTTCCTCATCAATTCCCCTTCCTCCGACGACATTATAGTCCTCACAGCTTCTTTGACAGTTGAGGCCGTCACAAGTTCATTTATGCGCGACCAGTCCCTTACGACCATGCCAATCTTCAGCACCCGTGACAAAAAGGCAGCGTTCCGTGGTTGGTCGGTGTGCATAGGCCAGGCCGCAATCGGTACTCCCTCGCTGATGCTCTCCAGAACTGAACTCCATCCGCAGTGACTCATGAAACCCCCTGTCGAAGCGTGCCGAAGAATTTCCGCCTGAGGCGCCCACCCTCTCACCACCATTCCTACTCCCTCCGTCCTCTCTTCAAACCCCTTCGGAAGCTCAGGACGACTTCCGTTCTCGTCCGCAAAAACATTAGCTCTATCTGCATCTTTGAGCACCCAAATGAATCTAATTTTGCTCTCTTCCATTCCCATTGCAAGTTCCTTAATCTGTTCATCTGTCATGGAACAAGTTGTCCCGAAGGATATGTATATGACTGAACGTGGTGGTTGTTTATCTAGCCACTCCACACATTTGTTTTTCCCAATTTCTGAGCTGTTCTGATCGCCAGTGCTTCTCAAATATCCATAAAACGGCCCAACTGCCCACTGCATTTTATTTCCTTGAATCTGGCCTAAAAGGTCGACATAATCGCTCTCAATCACTCTGCACGTGTTCCGGATATCACCGGATCGGAATTTCAAGGCTTCTAATTGAAGAGGCATGTATTTCATCACCACATCCGTGTAGCAACCTTCCAAGGAAGGAAGGTCATCCGGGATTTCAATCTCTTCAGGAATGGGGAACGTGGACCCTGCCTGTTCTCGCATTATGGTGAAGGCAGTGAAGGAGCATGTAGAGTCAAAAGCAAAGAGTTGTACATTTGGAAAAGAAGCAGCATCTTGAACCGCGAATGCAAGCAGAGCATCATGGATTATGACAATCTTCTTGGCTTGAGAACGGAGAGTTTGTAACAGGGTGAGGAAAGGTTGGCGGAGTTCTAGTGTGACATTCAACAAGGGTTCGAGATGGAAGAGTTGATCAGCAGATCCGCCACGAGTTGGGGCGGGGGAAGGAAAAGGAGGAAATGGGAGTTCATGGAATTGGATTTTAGTAAGGAGAAGCGGATTCAAGTAGCGGAGCTTGACTTGACGGACATGGCTGGAAGAGCTAATGTAATGAACGGGAAGGTTGTAAAATGAGGATATGATGGTTGAAAGGTCTAGGAGTTGATTCAGGTGGCTTTGTGCCGGCATCGGCACTGCCACCACCATCACCGGAGCACTCTGTTCGTTGCCGCTGGCCATTATGTTAGATATCCGTAAAGATCATCAGCGATTCATTGGGACATTTATAATAATCAATTATAGATTTTTTTACTAGGCTATAGAACAAATGAAAACCTTTTCCCCTTCAAATCCTTTCTCTATTGGTCCCAAGAGTTGAATTTGAGAGCTCTTACTCAAAGAAACTTATATGAAATCCTTGTTTCAAAATTCACTGCATGCACCATACACATGCAATTCCACGTCTTAAATACAATTCCTTATAGCAAATTAATATAAACTGTTTAAGGGGCTGCATAATTTAGTAATTTGAAAGTAGTGGTTATCAGTCTCATTTAATCCAATAAATAAGAGTATTTAAATTAATAATAATTATAATTATTAACTATATTAAATGAAACCATTAACTATTAATTTGAAACAATTATAGCAAAATAGAACTTATTTGTAAATCAAGATATATACACTAATGAGGTTGTAGTCAACGTTATAGCAGATTATATTATTTTAAGAATCATTTAATTAATTGCTATTTAATGAAGTTTTGGCATGGTAGTAATGAAGCTAAAGTTTGACCAGTCCGGTTCATGTATTATGTCCTTTGCAAGTTTAGTCTAGTTTTACGTTTTTCTTTTTTCATCTAGTTTATAATTTAATTTAGTGATTGGTTTTAAGTTCAGTTTTTAATGAATTAATTGATATAAATTTTCGCTTAGAATAATGAAAGAAATCAAGAGCCAAAATTTTACACATAAACTTGATGTGATATGTGATATTAAAAGAGTGAGTTCGCAAACCTAATGCGAGATTCTCTTAATAATAAAATCAATTTATAATTAATGCTAAATTATCTACATATCACCTAAATTCGTGCTTTATAATTAATGTGACGAGAACTTTGTATTTGTAGTTATTTTGTCAAAGAAAAAGAATTGTGTCTTACGAAAGATATCACCAATCATATAGCAGTGAGGTTCTCCACGCCACTGACGACCATGTGACAGTGCCACCCATTTTCGGGGATGAAAACAGCCTGGATCATGCTCTCTGGTTTGTTCAAGCTTAATTAGTCAAACCCCTTATTAATGTTACATTAAATATAGGAGTTTTTTATTTTTTATTTTCCCTTTCCTTATAATAGGTATAAAAACCAGAAATTGGGCAGCCGCAATGGTATTTATATTGTGTGTGTGTGTGTTTTTTTTAAGAGAAAAGGAAATATTAATAAAATGTTTGTGTTCTCCCAAAAATCCTTAACCGGCCTTAACCACGTGAGCTTGAGAATAAGGCGTGCCACCTACTTTGTCTAAAAACAAGAAAACAAGATTTTTCAGATGACCCTTCTCCTTTCCAGTGGTCAACCTCTAATAGGATGACTAGAAATAACGTATGTGAAATACATTGCGCCACAAACAATGTTGCCAAATAGAGAGTGGTGTTTTGCAAAATCGATTACTAATTGCCTTAAACACCTCCAAGGACATCATAACTACAAAAGTGTAATAAAAGTTACAAATTCTAAAATAAACGCAACATCCTAAGGCAATTAATCTAACATGAAATAAATAGAAGAGAATAACATGCCACAAAAATAAACTCAGACAACAGATTGTGTAGGATTATAGACACTAATTTTAATGACACTAATTTTAACTTCACAATCCATGACAATTAAACTAATTACTCGAAGATTTAAAATAAAAATAATTGAATTACTTGATAACTAAAATTAAAGAAAAATCTACAAAATAATTAAAGTCTAAAAACTTGTAAAATTAAATATGGATCTAGAAATTGAAATTAAATGAATTGCAAGTTTGGTAGTTGCACAGAAACAAAGGAAAGAAGGCAGAAAGCATTCAACTCATTTACATAAACAAATAACATAAGCATTCAACTCATGCAGAAAGAGGTATGCCCTCAACTTCCTAATTTAGATCAAACTCAACCACCAGAAACTAACTTATTTTCTGCCACCTAAAATCCAACCTCTTTAAAAATCTGTCTGGGCCATTAAATTCTAAATTAGCCCAGCCCAATTCAACCTAACCCAACTTAATGACTCTCCTTAAAGATTGGGCTTAATCTTGACATATGGTTTTACTATATTGGTTTATTTTTAGGTGTAAACAATTTGATATTAAAAATAGAGGTTAGTACATATCACTCTTGACAATAAAAAATAATTAGAGTCTTAATATATATTTGAAAATTGAAATTTCATCATATTAAATATTGATATTTAAATTTAGAGAAAATTGTTTTGTGGAAAAGCTAATACTTTTAAACAGGATTATCTCTGCTGGGTAACTGCCTAGTGAGAGAAACGCCTGCTTTCTAGAGAGAGAAACCTGTTAAACCCAATTTCATGTCTCGATTTTCATGGCAATTCTTCCTAAATCTGCCATGCCCACAGCCTCTTGTTCATCAGATTTGCCTCGCTTAGCTCATTTCACCTCTGCTAAGGGTGTCTCCATGTCGCGCGACAACTTACAGGCTGAAATCTTGGCCATCACAGGTGCGCCTTCTTTGTCCCAGGTAAACTGCTCTCCTCCGTCTGACTTGGTATCTGAGGTAGCTCCTGGTGCTTCCTATGTGGCTGCTGATCCTAATTCTGTTTCTTGGGCCGCTGTTGCTAAGTCTGTCTTGAAGCCCCTAAATTTTCACCCCCCTGTTCTTGATAATGGAAAATTAAGGGTGAAAGTGCCTCGTGCAATTCGCGATGAAGGAATCAAGTTGTGGGAAGATTGTTTGATAGGGACATTCATGGGCGATGCTCCCAGCTACGGTCACATCTTGAGCATGGCTAATCGCATTTGGGGGAGGCGATGCCATATCTCAGTGACTGGCCTCAGCAACAATTCTTTCTTATTCAAGATCCCTGATCCGTCTACTAGAGCTTGGGTTCTAAATTCTGGTCCATGGCATGTTGCTCATAAAACCTTGGTGATGAGGAAGTGGGAGCCTAACTACAAAGAATTTAAGCAAGACCCAAAGAGAATGCCGATCTGGGTAAAGCTCTGGGATGTTCCTATGGATTTGCTCTCGGTGGATAGTCTTTGCTATATTGCAAGTGGAATTGGGGTTCCACTAGCTTTGGACAAGGCAACGGAAGATAGGACCCGAGTTGATTTTGCCAAAGTTTGTGTTGAGATTGAGGTTGCAAATGCCCAGGATTTGCCTGAAATTATCCCTGTTGATACTGAAGACTTTCCATCTGTGGATATAAGGGTAGAATACCCTTGGTTACCCACCACCTGTGGCTCATGCAAGAAGAAAGGGCACACCAGTCGCAATTGTAAGACAAAGAAACCCAAGCCAAAAACCTACAAGAAGGAATGGGTTGAGGTTGCAGGTAAGAATAAGCCAACTGAAGCTCCTGGTATTATTCCTGAACCTAACCAAGTTGCTATATCTGCGCCTAAAGTTCAGTCTGTCCCACTGGTTAAGGTTGTTGATGTTTCCCCTTCTAATCCAGAAGTTGTTGTTAATTCCCCAGTTCTATTTGAGGCCCCATTGACTGATGTTGAGTCGGTTGCTATTGGGTCCATGCCAATGTTTGCTGCTACAACTATGCCTGACAATGCTGAGCCTAACCCTTTAGGGAAGCAAAATTCTTTTGCAGCCTTGGCTGCTATTGATGATGAGCAAGCTTTTCCTTCCTTGAAGGCATCCTCTTTGTCTCCTAGGTCTGGCAAGAAACGTAGGCAAGCTTCTTTGGGTGTTGCTGCAGTCACAAAAGCATTGGCTCCTAGACAAAGAAACACCAAAAAAGTTCAGAATTCCTCCAGTGAGGTACCTCCCTTGCACCACAAATGAGGATTATTTTTTGGAATGTTAGAGGGATTAACAAGTCTCAGAAGCATAAATCTTTGAGGCACACTCTAAGAAGGTATGAAGCAGACATAATATGCTTGATTGAAACACATGTCCAGTTGTCAAAGTTTGAAAAAATTACTGAATTTCTTCTCCCAGGGTGGTGCAAGTTTGGAAACTATGATTGTGCCTCTTCAGGAAGAATATGGCTTCTTTGGAAGCCTCACATAACTGTTCAAATTTCAAGTGTCAACTTTCAAGCTGTACATTGTCATGTTTTCAATTCTGCTACAAAGAAGTACATGTTTGCCAGTTTTATATATGGTGATAATTCCCCTGATCATAGAAAATCCCTATGGGATGAGTTAGTTCTGCTAAGCAAGAATTTGCCTGAGGTTCCCTGGATTTTAGGAGGGGATTTTAATGAAATCAGGTTCCCACAAGAAAGATCAGATTGGTTTCAGACTTTAGAATTCTCAAAGGATTCAGAGTTATTTCATGAGAGGCTTAATGAAGCAGAGCTTTTTGATCTCCCTGCTCTTGGACCACAATTTACATGGACAAATAAAAGGGAAATAGGGCTTATAGCCAGAAAATTGGACAGATTAATGGTAAATGGCTCTTGGTTAGAGACTTTCCCAAGCACTAGAGCTGAGTTCCTTCCCCCAGATATATCTGATCATTGTGCTGGCGCAGTCACAATTATGGCTCAAGATTCTCATGTTTCGAGAAAACCATTCAAATTCTTTAACTTCTGGACAAAGAATAGAAGGTTTTTAGATGTTGTAAAGGAAACCTGGTCATCTGTTGAGGTGCAAGGGTGCTACATGTTTCAATTATGTAAAAAGCTCAAAGCACTCAAGGCTCCTCTTAGAAAGCTTAACAAAGAATGTTATGGTAATCTGCCTGAAAAATTGCAGCAGGAGGTTAAGAAACTACATGCTATTTAGCTTGACCTACTATCTGCCCCTCGTGAAGAATTGATTTTGGTAGAGTAGGAGCAAGCTAAGAAAGTGACGGAATTATCACTTGCTGAGGAGGCTTACTTGAAACAAAAATCAAGAGTTCAATGGCTAAAGGAAGGGGACCAGAACACCACATACTTCCACAAAGTGATGAAGGTGAGAAGGAGCAGAAATATGATTAGAGAAATATACAGTGATGATGGTGAGCTTTTAACCCAGTATGTAGATATTGCAAAAGAGGCTGTTGGTTTCTTTGAGAGATTGCTAGGGACAGAAGATCCTAATTGCAATGGAGGTGATCTTGATCTGCTAAGATCCATTTTTGACTACCAACTTCCTGATGATGTTCAACAGTCCCTCACTAAACCCATTACAGCGGATGAATGCAGATTGGCATTTTTTAGCAGTCCAAACAACAAAAGTCCTGGCCCTGATGGTTATACGATTGAATTTTATAAAGCAGCTTGGAACATTGTTGGAGACTTAGTCACTAAAGCCATTCAAGAATTTTTTCTCTCAAGGAAGCTACTAAGAGAGGTAAATTCTACCATAATTTCTTTAGTGCCTAAAGTTCCATGTCCCTCAAAGATGACTGAATATAGGCCTATAGCTTGCTGTAACTTGCTGTATAAATGCATTACAAAGATCATTGCTAACAGATTGAAGAAGTGTCTGCCTCTCTTCATTAGCAACAATCAGTGTGCATTTGTGGAAGGGAGATTAATGGTAGAAAACATTTTGCTTGCTCAAGAAATAGTTAAGCACTATCACAAGCCTAATATGAAGCCTAGATGTGCCTTGAAAATTGACTTGATGAAGGCATTTGACTCTGTGAGCTGGAAATTTCTCCTTATAGCCTTGGAAGCTCTAGGCTTTCCTACTATTTTTATCACTTGGATTAGAGCTTGTATCACTTCCCCCATGTTTTCAGTAGCTTTAAATGGAAATCTAGAGGGCTATTTCCCTGGGAAGAAAGGAATAAGACAGGGTGACCCCTTGTCCCCATACTTGTTTGTCATTTGTATGGAGGTTCTGTCACGACTTTTGAATAAAGCTGCTCAAGAAGGAAATCTACCATATCATCCTAACTGCAAAAAGACTAGCCTCACACACCTATGCTTTGCAGATGACCTACTAATTTTTACAGATGGGAGCTCAAGAGCTGTTGGGGAATTAGATTCAATTCTTAAGCAATTCTACCTGGTGACAGGTTTGAAGGTCAATTACCAGAAATCTGAAATTTTTTGTTGTGGGATGCCAAACCAGGTTATCAAGGAGTTAACTGAAACCTATGGCTTCAAAGTAGGTACTCTTCCTGTCAGGTACCTTGGAGTACCTCTAATTACTGGAAGGTTGACGGATGCAGCTTTGAAACCTCTCATCTCAAAAATAACAGACAGGATAAATTCTTGGTCTTCAAAATATTTGTCCTTCGCAGGGAGGCTACAACTCATTTCTTCAGTACTTCAAGGGATAACGAATTTCTGGTGCTCTGTATTCATCTTGCCAAAAAGGGTTATTACAGCTGTTGAGGCTAAATGCAGTGCTTTTCTATGGAAAGGTAAATCAATTGATGCAAGAGGTGCAAAAGTAAGCTGGTCTGCAGTTTGCCAGCCAAAGATGGAAGGAGGTTTAGGCATTAAACCTCTGTTGAGCTGGAATAATGCATGTATTCTGAGATTTATTTGGCTATTATTTTCCAAGGCTGGCTCAATTTGGGTAGCTTGGGTCAAGGAATACCTCCTTAAGGGGAAGAGTTTTTGGTCAATTCCGATTCCAAATGATGCTTCTTGGAGTTAGAGAAAAATTCTGAAGTTGAGATCTCTTGCCAAATATCTTGTTAAGCATATAGTTGGGATTGGGGATTCGATCTATCTATGGCATGATTTTTGGCATCCGAATGGACCTCTCATTGAAGTTTATGGTCAGAAAATTGTATATGATGCAGCCATCCCATCTCAGGCTAAGCTTTCCCAAGTGATTCAGGGTGATTTTTGGAAATGGCCTCCTACTAGATCTCCTGCACTTCTGCAGATTCAGATTGCATTATGTGGTGTTTTGTATCCCAACCAATCTACGGTAGATTCTGTTACTTGGCTTGCTCAGGTTCCTTCAAAACTGGTTCTACTTGGAACTATTTGAGAGATAAAGGGACCAAAGTGCAGTGGTTTAGGCTTGTTTGGTTTTCCCATTCAATACCAAGGCATTGTTTTATCTCTTGGTTGGCAATCTTAAACAGGCTCTCCACCAAAGCTAGGCAAAAGCGTTGGACCCCTTCCATTGATGATACTTGCATGCTATGTAAGGATGCGAGTGAGTCTAGAGATCACTTGTTCTTCTCTTGTCCTTACTCAAGGCAACTCTGGGAACAAATTTCATTACTGCTGGGTGTTCCTTCAACTTGCTCTTGGCAAGATGTATTAACTTGGTTCTGTAGAAAGACCAAGCGTACAGCTTTGTACAACACACTTCTCAAGCTGGCATGGTGTGCATCAATCTATTACATTTGGACTGAGCGTAATAACAGAATTCATAGGCAAGTGTTCACATCTCCATCTGCACTTGTGGATAAAATTCAAGCAGATGTCCGGGATAGAGTTCTTGGCTTTGCTAAAGAAAAGACATTTCCCTTGTCAAAGGAGGTTGCTACAAATTGGGGGCTGGATGTTCTTTGCATATGAATTTTGTTGAAATTGTAGTATTTTAGTGTATTGTTTCATTTTTTGTACAAAGTATTGGTAGCAGCCTAAAATAAAGCACTGCTTAGTGTATTGTGTTGATTTAGAAATAAATTCACATTTCACCAAAAAAAAACTTTGAATCCTTTAAAGTATAAATTAAAAAAATCAATTTTGAAATTATAGAATTAGTTTCGAACGTAAAAGTTTGCACGATAACAACCTATCAATAAATACAAAAAAAAAAAATTATACTAGAAAAAAAAATGTAACACTAACAATATATGTACAATGCCGG